GCCCGCAGCACACCCCAAGGGAGCCCCAGCCTCGCCCTCGCGGGCAGGCACAGGCCCCACACGCGCAGCCTCCTCAGAGGCCGAAGACGCCGAGCCCCCAGGCCCAGCGCCAGCGAAAGCCCCAGCCGAGCCCCCAGCCCCAGCAGGCCCAAGCCTCGCAGCAGCAGGAGCGGGCCCAGCCGAGGCCCCAACCACACGGGCACCCCCAGGGCCATTTGGCGCCCCCCCCACAGACCCCCAGCGGGCCGTCGGCGGCCTCACAGTGGCACTGGCAGCAGCCTCGATCAGATTTGCCAGCATGCGAGAAATCGCAGAAGGCACGCACCGACGATCCGTGCCTCCCGTCAGTTGCCTGCGTGCCTCAGCGGTTTTCGCCGTTCGGCGGCAGCGACGGCACATGAGCTTCCCTCGAATTTCAATGAGGTCATGCTCGTGGATTAGCAGCACCATCCTGGCTCCATCTGCCTTGGGCGCTCTGCTCGGGGCGGCCGACAGGACGGCCTTCTCAGCCCACAGCTCTAACTGACAGCTTCTCTGGACCGCCCACGACAGATACTTGGCGTACTGGGCCGCCTCGGCCAGCGAGGCCTTATAGAACCTAGCATGGGCCACAGGGAGCTTGACCGAGAGGGCTCCCAGCTTAGCGAAAAAATCGGCCCAACCATTCCCCACGACCCAGAGGTAAGGAGGAGGCGGAGGGTCCTCGGGGGCGGGGAAGAGAACCTCATCCTCGGTCCTGTGGGAAGGGACCCATGCGAAGGCAGGCGGCGTTCTTTTCAGCGCCACCAGCTTGCGCCACACTGCAGGGTATGCACGGCTAGCGTCAGTCAGGGCCTCTGTCTCTCCCTGACCCCAAAGCTTGCCTTCCTGCACAAATTCCAGTAGGTCGGAAATCACACACTGGACCGAAGGCATGTGCTGTAGGGCCTTGAGGCCCGCCACACGCTCTGCACGGCCCACTGTCTGCTGCGCGCCTGCGAGCCCGCCATACAGCGCACGAGTGGGGACTCCGTTGGCGTTCAGCATGACAGCGGACCACCCGCACCGACGGAGCTCAGGATGAGGATGATGATGATGATGATGATGATGATGATGATGATGATGATGATGATGATGATGATGATGATGATGATGATGATGATGATGAGGAGGAGGAGGAGGAGGAGGAGGAGGAGGAGGGAGGAGGAGGAGGAGGAGGAGGAGGAGGAGGAGGAGGAGGAGGAGGAGGGAGGAGGAGGAGGAGGAAGGAGGAGGAGGAGGAGGAGGAGGAGGAGGAGGAGGAGGAGGAGGAGGAAGAGGAGGAGGAGGAGGAGGAGGAGGAGGAGGAGGAGGAGGAGGAGGAGGAGGAGACGGAGGAGGGCTGTGCGCCCCAGGAGCGCCGCCTCTGTGGGCCCGGAGCGGGCCCCCGAGCGTCAGGCCCCCCTGCCGTGGCACCCTGCCGTGGCCCTCCTCGTCCGCCTCCCGGGCTTCCGGCGAGGTCACGGCGCCCCCGGTTGGGTCCCCGCCTCCGCCTCCGCGAGAAACATACGTGACACTCGTAACGAGCAGCAGGATCGGTGCCAATCAGCGAGAGAGGATCGCCAGGACACGGTTGCTCGTTTGAGAAGTCACGCGCGGAAGCACCATCGATAGTCGTGTTTCACTGGAGCGAGGAAGGCACCATCCATGCGGATTAATTTGATGATGGATCTTTATTTAGACTAAGCGAAGCAAGCACGATGCAAGATGGTGGAACAGCTGTTCAGGCAAGGGATGCGTTAGCACGTTTCTGTCACGATTGAGGCCTCGGCCAACAAGGAACGCAACAACTCATGACGGGTCATATGATGAATCATGGCAGTGGCAACGCTTGTAGAGGAGGATGAGCAACAGGAAGTCGACATGCTCTTTCTGTCGCGGCCGTGCGCGCAGCGACGCAGCGCAGTCGGAGGCGAGACGCCCGAGCGTGCGGCCAGCCAGGGCCTCGCGCGGCGCCAGGCGGGGAGCACGAGGTTCGCTCGCAGCGGACCACGCCGTGCGGGCGTCTCACGGGTGGGCAGCCGATGGAGGGACTGAGCGTGGTGGCTATTAACGGTGCCTACCAGGAGCAGATGGCGAGCGCAATAACACACACGCGCGCACTGAATGATAAGAGCAACAACCGTACTAACGGCATCAAGGAGGTGTGCTGCACATCATGATTCTTGACGCTTCGCGCATCCCCACCAGCCCATCCAGACACGACGCCCAGAGGAGCTGCCCTGAAAGGGGGGCGTGGCACTCGGGGGTTTGAGTGGGCCAGGGGCCCCTGGGATGCTTCCTTGGGTGTCTCAGGGCGTCTCTTGAGGGCCTGCTGAAGGCACCCTGGGGCGTCTTGACGGCCTTTTGCTGGCTCTTGGGGGGCACTTTGGAGCGTCTTGGGTGCTCTTGGAGGCCTCTTGAAGCCATTTGGGGAGCGTTTTGGGGTTCTCTTGAGGCCTTCTTGGGGCCATTGTGTAGGATGTCGGTCAAAGAAGGGGGGGTCGCCTGACAGCCCTTGGTCTTGGGGTGCTCTTAGACGCTCTTGGACCGTCTTGGATCCTCCTGGGGCCCTCTTGGGCCCTCTTGGAGCCATCTTGAGGCTTCCAAGACCCATCGGAAGCGAGCATGCGAGAGGCCACAAATCATTGAGTTGCTTGAGGTTTTGGACCGATTCTAGCCTCTCGGAGTTCCTGGGCAGGCTCCGTGGCGACTTGCAGCCGTCTTGGGGTGGTCTTGTGGCTTCTTGGAGCAGCCAGGAAACCACTTTGGGCTATCTTGATCCATCGTGGAGGTCATCACCCGCCCGCAAGCCGTCTAGCTCACTCCCACCCGCCCTCCCAACACATGAGTGACACCCGAGCCTGAGCATGTTCAGCGGTCGTCTTTGGATGGACAGCTGCTGGAAACCAACGCCGACCCCAGGTGCGCGACGCTTGGGCGCGGTGCGCCACGCGTGCCAGGGGCGCCACGGGCGCCAGGCACCCCTGGGGCCCGAGCGTGCCAGGCACGCCTGGTGCACCAGATGCGCCACGTGCTCCGAGTGCGCCAGGTGTGCCGCACGCTCCAGCCGCGCCAGGTGCGCCACGTTCGGGGCACGTGCAGAGTGCGTCAGGTGCGCCTGCGCACGTGACAGCACACATCGGGGAACATGTCGGCAGCCACCATCCTTGTCGCAAACCAATGCCTATCATTGTGTCTGGTGGGCCTGCGCACAGCAGGCCACGCGCGACCACCCTCGCCGTCCCTGTCAAAAACCACTTGACAGTGATCGCGGGGTGGCCGCGCATGATCCAGATTTCGCGCCGCGATGTGCATTTTGCATTTTTTTGTTCGGGATGATGACGGTGCGCGCAGCAGGGAATATGCTGACACCCCCGCCGTCCTTGTCACAAACAATACAACATGCTCGCGGGCCTCACGGACATGACTCAAGACTTTGGCCCACATTGCACTTTGTGTGGTTTTTTGACAGGGATGGTGGGGGAGGGGCGCATCGGGTTGGCCGCGCATGCTCCAAATGTGGAGGCAGAGTGCGTTTTGTATTGTTTTTTGACAGGGATGGTGGGGAGGTGGGCCTCATGGAGTTGGCATTGTTCCGGGTTGGCCGCTGGCCGGGTGGGGGGGATTTATATTAACAGGGAGCAGTGATCAAGACACTTCTCCCATACGCAAGCTGTTTTGCTCACTCCCACACGCCCTCCCGTGCGACACGCGTGCCAGGCGCTCCACGCGTGCCAGGCTCGCCACGCGCACCAGGCGCGTCAGGCGCCCACGAGGTCCAAGCGTGCCAGGCACCCGTGGTGCGCCAGATATGCCACGTGCTCCGCGTGCGCCAAGTGTGCCGCATGTTCCAGCCGCGTCAGGTGCGCTACATTCGGGGCTCGTGCAGGGTGTGCCAGGTGCGCCCGCGCAACTCGGGAAACAAGTTGGCCCCCACCATCCTTGTCCAAGAACAGTGCACAATCGGGGCGGAGTCGTCGTCATGATGCCTGGCGGGCCTGCGTGCAGCGGGCAACGTGCCAGTACCCCCGCCGTCCTTGTCAAACCCATGCAGCGCGATGGAGGGGTGCCCGCGCACGATCCAGTTTCAGCCTCGAAGTGCAGTTTTCGCAGTTTTTTTGACAGGGGCGGTGGCCTTGCGCGTAGCAGGCCACATGCTGGCAGCCCCGCCGCCCCCGTAACAGAAAACAGGACAAAGTGCTCTCGCGCCCCCGCGTGCACGACCCAAGATTTTTTGCCGCAAAGTGCACTTTACATTGTCTGTTTGTTTGACAGGGATGGTGTGGAGGGTTTCTCCGAAGGGCTTAGGCGACCTGTCCTCCTCCTTCTCCTCCTCCTCCTCCCTCCTCCCTCCTTCTCCCTCCTCCTCCTCCTCCATCTCCTCCTCCCCCTCCCCCTCCTCCATCTCCTCCTCCTCCTCCTCCTCCTCCTCCTCCTCCTCCTCCTTCCTCCTCCTCCACCTCCTCGGGTCGCCTGCGGCCCCGAGGGAAATCGTGCAGGATGGTGGGCGGGTGTTGGCATGGCACAACGCAGGCTGTATGCTGGCATCCCCGCCGTTCTTTCCAGAAATCAATGCAGAGTGGTCGCGGGGCGCCCGCCCATGATGCTCCAGATTTGGAGGCAAAGGGCATATGTCATTGTTCTGTTGCCAGGGATGGTGAGGGGGTTGAGTTCATGTGTTGGGTTGGCAGCCGGTCGGGTGGGGGATGGGTTGTCATGAACAGAGAGCAATGATGCATTTTTCCCCGAAGGGGAAGAAGGAGGTTTCAAGAACTAACTCGCTAAATCGCTCGCGCTCTAAAGGGCTGGTGGTACTATCACGGCAAACGCGCGCCTTCAGCCGGCCAACGCTTATTAGACATAGCGGCTTCGCGCAGGCAGACCCCCGCTAATTCCCGTATGTCGCTGTGCGCAGCGGCGGAGATGGTAGAACTGCACATGGGTGGCTGTTCCATTCTCGTTGCTTTGAAGTGGTACGTGTGCGGCGACGCACGCGGCAGGCTTCACCCCGATCGGAACTTCAAAGTTGAAGATCATCCAGATCACCCAGTTCGAAGAAAACAGAGGTTGCAGGAAGCGTGGTTGCCCACTTTAGAGCAGGAGAGCCGTCCCGCCTATGCAGGATTGGCCCACACATGTTTGAGCATGCAGGTTGTCAAGACAGGTTAGAGCGCGGCCGAGCCTGTTTGCACGACGCCTTGCTCTCCTGATTGTGATCGTGTTTGTTAGCAATCACACCCATGTTGCTTACTTGGCACGGCCATGTGGGGCGTGCGCGCGCGTGTGCGGTTTGAGAAGGAGAGCGTTTGCGGTTATACGTCAGCGCTGCTGTCGTGCTGCTTGATGCCGTCAATGCAGTTGCTCATGAGCAATGTGCCTGCCCGGCACAGGCGCAAACGCCTTCGCATTCAGAAGTCGAAGGTGGCGATTTCGAAGAGAAAAGAGAAGACGAGAAAGAGGACGACGAAGAGGGAGAGGAGCAGGAGGGGGACAACGAGGAAAAGGTGAACGACGAGCGCCACACTAGCTCTTCCAGAAGTTCTTCGTCGGTGTCGGATTTGCTCGAGGACCTGCGCGGCTTATATCCTCTCTCTCTCTATCTCTCTCTCTCTCTCTCTACTGGGTGCGCGCTCTTGCTCGGAAACTGCTGTTTTTTCGTTGCTGTTTGTATTTTGTTTGTGGCAGCGCTATCCATTTGCAGCCAAGAGCGGGCCGCACGGCAAGCCCTTGTGTTCGCGGCGTAAATGTCTGCGAAGGGGGCGGGGGCGTTGGGCGTGGGGCGGCGGTGGTTGTGAAACCCGGGCCCGCGAGCCCGAACGCGGGGAGGCCGTGTTGTGCTGTGTTGTATTGTCTTGAGTTGTGGTGCAGCTCGTTGTGCAGTGTCGTGGTTCGTTGTGGTGTTGTGCGGCTGTGGTGCCGTCATGTTGTGCTGTTGTGCCGCGTCGTGTTGTCGCTTTTCTTCTGTTGTTGTGCGGTTGGCTTTGGCAAAACCTGGCGAGACGCAGTCGAAGACTTTGTGCTGCGTGTTACCATCTGCGAACCTTCTGCCCCAGACGCCACGCACAACAGGAGACAGCGGACGTGCTCCTGGAGGCTCTTGTGCACGCCTGAACCATTCGGAACCGCAGGCTTCCTCGCATGCTAGTTTTCCGCTTGACTTGCTCAGTCTCCCGCTGCTCGGCCTCCAGCTTCCGCGGCTTGTCCCGCCACTGCGCAGCAGCGCAGCAGCGCAGCAAGATGGAGGTTCAGTCTAAGACCCAAGCCCCTGCAGTTATTTGTCTAACCTGGCGCGAGTCTCATGCACCGTCTCCTCGTCCGCAGCCTTGTTCCCACCCCCTCTCCCTTCATGTGTGAAGCTTCCACTGCCGCCGCCGCCGCCGTCGCCGTCGCCGACGTCGCCGTCGCCGTCATCGTCGTCGTCGTCGTCGTGGTCGTCGTCGTCGTGGTCGTCGTGGTCGTCGCCGTCGCCGTGGCCGTTGCCGTCGCCGTCGCCTTCGCCGTCGCCGTCGCCGTCGCCGTCGCCGTCGCCGCCGCCGTCGCCGCCGCCGTCGCCGTCGCCGTCGCCGTCGTCGTCGTCGCCGTCGCTGTCGCCGCCGCCGTCGTCGTCGTCGTCGTCGTCAGTCGTCGTCGTCGTCGTCGCCGTCGCCGTCGCCATCGCCGTCGCCGTCGCCGTCGCCGTCGCCGTCGCCGTCGTCGTCGCCGCCGCCGTCGTCGTCGCCGTCGCCGCCGCCGTCGTCGTCGTCGTCGTCGTCGTCGTCGTCGTCGCTGCCGTCGTGGTCGTCGTCGTCGTCGTCGCCGCCGTCGTCGTCGTCGTCGTCGTCAGTCGTCGTCGTCGTCGTCGCCGTCGCCGTCGCCATCGCCGTCGCCGTCGCCGTCGCCGTCGCCGTCGCCGTCGTCGTCGCCGCCGCCGTCGTCGTCGCCGTCGCCGCCGCCGTCGTCGTCGTCGTCGTCGTCGTCGTCGTCGTCGCTGCCGTCGTGGTCGTCGTCGGTCTCGTCGCATGTCGTCGTCGTCGTCGTCGTCGTCGTAGTCGTCGTCGTCGTCGCCGTCGCGTCGCCGTCGCCGTCGCCGTCGCCGCCGCCGACGCGTCGCCGACGTCGTCGTCGCGTTCTGTCGTGGCCCCGTGTCGTGTCGTCCGTCGTCGTCGTCCCCCGTCCGCCGTCGCCAGAATCGCGTCCCCGTCGCCGCCGCCGCCTTGCGTCCCCCCTAGTCGTAGTCCTCGTCGTCGTCGTCGTCGTTCCGTCGTCGTCGTCGTCGTCGTCGTAGTGCGTCGTCGTCGTCGTCGTCCGTCGTCGTCGTCGTCGTCGTCGTCGTCGTCGTCGTCCGTCGCGTCCGCGTCGTCGCGTCGTCGTCGTGGCCGTCGCCTCCGTCGTCGTCGTCGTCGTCGGCCGTTCGCCGTCCGCCGCGTCCGTCGCCGATCGCCGTCGTCGTCGTCGGTCGCGTAGTCGTCGTCGTCGCTTTCGGTCGCGCCGGCCGCCGCCGTCGATGTCGCCGTCGTCGGCGTCGCCAAGCGTCGTCCGTGCCGTCGTCGTCGTCGCGTCGCGGTCGTTGTCCGTGATTTCGTCGCCGTCCGCCGTCGCCGCCGCCCGTCGCCGTTGCTGTCGTTTTCGCCTTCGCCGTCGCCGTTGCCTGCCGCCGCCGCCGCCCTTCGGCGCCGTGCCGTCGCCGGCGTCGGCGAAGTCGTAGTTGTGATCGTCGTCGTCGTCGTCGTCGTCGTCGTCGTCGTCGCTGTCGCCGTCGCTGTCGCCGTCGCCGTGGCCTCGTCGCCGTCGCCCGTCGCCGCGCCGTCGCCGTCGCTGCGCTGTCGCGGTCGTCGTCGTCGCTGTCGTCGTCGGCCGCGTCGCGTCGTCGTCGTCGTCGTCGTCGTCTTCGTCGTCGTTGTCGCCGCGCCGTCGCCGTTGTCCGTCGCCGCCTCGCCGTCCGCCGTCGCCGTCGCCGACGACGTCGCCGTTGCCGTCGCCGCGTTGTCGTCTTGTTTTTTCGTCGTCGTCGTCGTCGTCGTCGTCGTCGTTGTCGTCGTCGTCGTCGTCGTCGTCGTCGTCGTCGTCGTCGTCGCCGCCGCCGCCGCCGCCGCCGCCGCCGCCGCCGCCGCCGTTGTCATCGTCGTCGCCAGGCCGGGGTCTCCGTTTTTTTGGGCACCTCAACTCTTGGGGTGTTTCTGGCTTGGTCTGCGCTTGCATGTCTTTTCCCTTTCCCTCTTCCCTCCCCCGTCCCTCCTGCTCCCCTCGCCCTCCCCCTGCTCCCACCCCTGCCCTCATGCTCGCTCCTGCGGGTTTGGCTAAGATTTGCACCTGGCGCGCGAATCGAAACAGGCCCACGTCTCACGCCTCCGACGCTCCCAGTGGCGAGCGGGGGGTGGAATGCGACGGGGCGGTTATGTCCCGCCAGACGCTCAAGTATTTTGTACGCGTAAAAGGATGGCAATTGTCGGCCCTCGGTGCGCAATGCAATTTTCGGGTCCAGCAGCGGGGAGGGGAGCGTCCCGCCCAATGCGCGGCCTCGTGCGACTTAGCTTCTTTTGTAGTCGGTCGGGCAAAATGTGGTTGCTTCTGGTAGACATGCGTTCTCAACTGGGGCGTGTGGGTGGCGGCCACTCGGCGAGCACGAGGCTTGGCAGGAACCAGAGGGGGCTGACGATCTCTGCAGGCAATTCCGCCCGTTGGCAGACCACTGCTTGGCTGACCGAGTTGCACGTGGTTGCTACTTCCGCGGAAAACAAATCCCGCCCGACGCGCGATTGGTCGTTGCGGCCGGCGGTTGCCGCTCAGCCGCCTTGCCACTTGCAGTATGCTTGGGGCGCCGACGCGAAGCAGCTTTTCAGATCAGACGCTTGCGGTCCACGGGCAGCGTGCAAGTATATCTGGTGCGGGCCACGGACCCACGTATCGGGGTGCGGCGTCGGCTGCGGCGGCCTGTGCCAGCGTGCCAGTGCAATTTGCCGGAGTCGCCAGGCCCCGAACAACGCACCTTTTGTTGGAGGAGCCCCTCCCTTCTGAGTCGCAGGCAGGCGTTGCCACTCACTAGCGTGGCTCTTTTCGGTGCCGCCTGCGATGCTGCCCCTGTGGTGGGCGACCCTGTCGCCTCGCAAGACCGGCGGTCGGACAAGTCGTCCTGGGCCGTCTCGGCGGCGTCTGCTCTGCGACTTCTGCTCTGGTTGTTTTTTTGTTCGTCCCCTCCTTGTCCCCCCCCGCCTCCTGCATACACGTTGGAGGGTGCGTGTGTGCCTGGGGGGCTGACAGCGCGGCGACTACCCGTCTGAGTGTTTACTTTCTTTGGCCTCCCTTGTGGCCGCTTCAAGGACCACGCTCTGTTTGAGAGCGTGCCGTCTGCGGAGGGCGACCGTGCCAGCGTTTGTCTTCCCCAGTGCAGGCCGCAGGGAATGGCAGTTTGATGCAGACTTACGCGGGAGGCCCCGCCTCGCTAGCAGGGGCTGCCATTGCTCAGCGTGGTCCCTGCGATTGTGGCTGACCGCCGAGTGCTGTTTTGGATTCTAGCTTCCTGGCCCTACCGTGCGCCCAGCTTCAGCCAGCAGCGCCCCGTACCCGACGAGCTTGACCTGGCGGGCGGCTTGTCGGTCAGCCCGTATAGTCTAGTGGACTTTCTTCTCCCAGGTGGGACTGTGATGGCACCACTGACTTCTTTCTCGCCCGAGTTGTTTGGCGGTCCCGCGGCGCCGCCCGCAGTGGGGGCCGTGAGGGGCCACTGAGGGCAGGTCCGATGGCGCTGCGAGGCGCGCCCGTGGGCGCAGGTGCAGGGCTGACGCCGCCGGTGGCACGGACTGATACGAGCAACTGGCTCGTACGGTGGGGAGGTGGGGGGCCTTTCCCTCCAGCCCGCGCAGTCGGCGCAGTCCCTGCCTTAGCCCCGCAGGAGTGTTTGAAGACTCGGTGCGCCTAGCACACCCGGGGATCAGCCCCTGCTCGAGCCTGTGTCGGGGAGAGTGGGCGATCCCTCCGCAGCAGCTGGGCAATGTCCTCCGTGGGGCTCGCGTGTGGGCCGGGCCCTCTTTCCATGGTGTCGGCTGCTGCGCGCACGACAGGTGCGTGGCTGTTTCTTGTTTTTGGCGTCAAAGAGTTGCTCAGGTACAGAGCGCGTGGGGCCCAGCAGGCGTCTCTGCGTCAGGCGCTGGTTGCGTTCCCAGCGCTTCTTACTGCGGGTCCCCCCTGCAGGCGCCGAGCTCCAGCTGCACGCTCCGCGCCTTTCATTTTATGTCTGGCCCTTAACCACTAGCTGCCACCTGTAGGTCCTTGCTCTTCTCGCTCCCGGGACCACCGCTTCTAATCGTACCGGCGGCCTGCCTATGCAGTTGAGTCGTGCCGTGCGTTCAGCTCGCGCTGTCGGGTCTTGCCCAAAACGGTGGGACTCTCTGATGGGGGTGCCTTGGCGCTGTAGCCAGACAGTCCGTTGCCAGCAGTGCGCGTTGCCAGCAAACTTGTCACATGCCCACGCTTCGGGTCCGTTCTTCCTGTTGCTTGCTGTCCACACAACTCAGCGGCGCGCCCACGCTGCGGGCAGCAGCCCCAGGTCGCAGCGGCCAGGGGCTCGGCGCCGGAAAAAGGGCCGAGCGGG